GCGATGTTCAAAAACCTCGTGTTTTACAGGGTTTTGGCGCCCTCGGCGGACGAGAATTTCAGCTAGGCGATGTCAAAAAAACGTAGGTTTTTTCAGTGTTTTTGCTTTGCGGGAAGGAAAAGTTCGTAAAAAGTTGTATCGGAAGGTTTTTTCAACATAAATTGCCTCACATGTCCCCAACATAGGCCCAAGATACCTGACATATCCCCAACATATGCCCAACATAGCCTCCAAGATGGCTCAACATAGGGCCAACATAGGCCAACATGGGCCCAACACACGCCAACATAGGCCCAACGTAGGCCCAACCTAGGCCAACATAGGCCAACATAGGCCTAACGTAGGCCAACATAGGCCCAACATAGGCTCAACATGGGCCCAAGATGTGCCCAACATACACCACATGGGCCCCACTTGGCCCAACCTAGGGCCAAGATGCGCACCAGATAGCTTAACTTTGCTCAATATAGGCCCCACCAAGGCCAACATGGGCGTGACATACGCCCCACAGACCCAAGTGGGCCTGCGCCCGGCTGTTAGGCGTAAGCCTTTAAATCCGGGCGCCGGCCACGCGCCCGTGTCCTTGCCGGAGGCCTTCGGTTGGTAACCGAAGGTTATATACGCTCGCGCCCCCTGCCGCCGACCCTTTTGTTGGACCGCGCGTATACCCCGTGTCGACCTCAGGTTATATGTAATTTACAGTGTTTCGTGTGTGTGTGTGTGAGGTACACAAAACACTGTGTTTTGCAGGGTTTTGGGCCCCCCGGCGGCCGAGAATTTCATCTTGGAGATGTTAAAAAACGTAGGTTTTTCCATGGTTTTTGCTTTGCGGGAAGGAAAAATCGTAAAAAGTTGTATCGGAAGATATTTTTGAACATAAATTGCCTAAAATCTCCCCAACATAGCCAACATATCCCCAACATATGCCCAACATAGCCTCCAAGATGGCTCAACATAGGGCCAACATGGGCCAACATACGCCAACATAGGGCCGACATAGGGTCAACTTGGGCCCAAGATGTGCCCAACATAGACCACATGGGCTCAACTTGGCCCAACCTAGGGCCAAGATGCGCACCAGATAGCTTGACTTTGCTCAATATAGGCCCCACCAAGTCTCAAAGAGAGAGAGAGAGAGAGAGGGAGGGAGGGAGGGAGAGAGGGACAGAGACAGAGAGACAGCGAGAGAGACAGGACCCAGCCCTGCACATACCCAAACCCAAATAGGCCGGCGCCCGGCTGTCAGGCGTAAGCCTCATAAATCCGGGCGCCGGCCACGCGCACGTTCCCTTGCCGGAGGCCTTCGGTTGGTAACCGAAGGTTATATACGCTCGCGCCCCCTGCCGCCGACCCTTTTGTTGGACCGCGGGGAGAATCCGGTCGACCCCCGCTCGACCCCCGCCCGTAGCGTGTCGACAGATTTATATGTATGTGAAGTGTATCTTGCGTAGGATGTTCAAAAACATCGTGCTTTACAGTGTTTCGTAGCCTTCGGCATCCACGACTTTCGTGTCGGTTATGCGTGCCGCGCGGACAGGCTTAATCGACATTTCGTTGGTGTTGGGCACATATATTGCTTAACATATTCCTAACATAGGCCCAAGATAGCCAACATATCCCCAACATATGCCCAACATAGCCTCCAAGATGGCTTCATAGGGCCAACATAGGCCAACATGGGGCCAACATACGCCAACATAGGCCCAACCTAGGCCAACATAGGCCTAACGTAGGCCGACCTAGGCCCAACATGGCCCAAGATGTGCCCAACATAGACCACATGGACTCAACTTGGCCCAACCTAGGGCCAAGATGCGCACCAGATAGCTTGACTTTGCTAAATATAGGCCCCACCAAGTCTCAAAGAGAGAGAGAGAGAGGGAGAGAGACAGAGAGAGAGAGAGGACCCAGCCCTGCACATACCCAAACCCAAATAGGCCGGCGCCCAGCTGTCAGGCGTAATCGTAAGCCTCATAAATATAAATATATATATATATGTGTATATATATATATACACATGTTTGGTTTTCGGCAAAGTGCATCCGCGTTTTTTGTGGGGTATTTGTGGGGTATTTCTGTGAAAGAAATCTAAATTCCGGTGCTTGCCGGAAACTAAAGTTTTCAAGCGGCCAAGTTTGGATCCGAATCAGCCACCAGAAAAGGATGAAAATTGTTAGACATGTTGCCTCTTGTACCTCCGGTTCACTGTGCCAATTCCAATTAAAAGTGCACCAACCAGCTTATCTACCATCATGTCCACAGAATGTCTTGTCCAGGCCTAGCGGGAAGAGCCATGGAGAGGCACTCAAAGATCGGGCAAAAGCCATTGCCTGTCCAAATCTTTGGGGCCGATGGGACTCTAGTCATGTGTCGGCTTCACTCATCCGTACCGCGAAGTAGTTTTGTATGCTTTGTAGATTCTAGGCGACTTCCACTTCTTGTACCCTCACTCAAGAGAAACTTCAATTGTCACTTGCAAGTGTTCAACACTGACGACTTGCAAGTATACATACATTATATTACATTACATTACATTACATTATATTACATTACATTACATTACATTACATTACAAGCAAGCAAGCAAACACCAGGATAAATGTTCTCCCGCACTCTCTTCACAGGTTCCTTCTTGGCGGTCTCACTGGGAACCTCCTTCGGACACACGGTCTCCAACTTGGCGATGCCATCAACACCCCTCACAACTCGAATCTCCGGCTGCGTTGATTTCTTCACCAGGCTCGTTCCGCGTCTGCACTTTGAGTTCCGATACCTTTTTTACATCCTTCTCATCATCACCTTCATCTTCAGGTGGCGGGGTCACTTCGACAGGGATGTTTGTTCCAACAACCAGTTTCTCTTACTGGGTGGACTTTACTACAGTCTTTGGGCTCATAGCCCATGCGTAGGCGAAAGCGCCTTGTCATTGATTTCGAAAGGGCTACATAGTGAAAAAGGTCTTAATTTGAGGTTCATGTCCATGGACCCACACGAGTACATTATATGCTTTTGTGTACCTGAAAGACAAGCGCTTGGACAAAGCCAGCCTCAGAGTCAGTGACAAAGTGATCCAGTCCGAACTTGTCGCCAAAAAGAGTGGAGCGCAAGGCTTGAGGAGCTCCCGAATGAGGTGCGCCAGCAGCAATCCAGAGGTTGATATGTCTATCTATCCAAGCTTGGCCTCTCTCCTTCTTGGCAAATTCCAGAAAATAAGTCACCACTTTGTTTCCCATGGAATGTGCAAGCAAAACAACCCCTGTGTTTTTCCTGTCCAAAATCTCAATATTCTGAATGAGCCGGCTGTAGTACCCATCCCGCTTCTGGAGTGCAGACGGAGCAAAGCGCCAGTCGTAGCTTGCGGCCAGCAAGTCAATCCCTTCCCTGTAACCCAGATCTTCCAATACCTTGATGACCGGTGAGAAGACGTAACCTCAATTGAACTGGACGGATTTTTTTGCACTCGCAGGGGAGGGTTTGACGGTACCGCTCAACCACAGTATTGCTCTCACAGCATGTGCCGAGGCACTTGCTTCAGCTGCTAAACCCATGAAGCTGTCGGGATCCAATGACTTTACACCTGCCAAGCCATCGACAGCTTGGAGCCTGATTCCAGGCGTTTCCCTCTCTGGGCCCGCGAGGACAAGGTGTTGGAGCCATTGGTTTTTCAAAGACCGTGCATTTGAATCATCCCAAGTGCCCTTGCCATGCCTTAGACAGCCCACACCACACGCACCGTCATCTTCGGCACTCTACAATGCAGGAAACTTCCAGCACACATTCAAAGTGTCCAAGTGGCATGGCGGAAAAGCCTATGTTCGTGAGCCCCAACCATACCTTTTGCCCCTTCCACGAGGGGCACACTTCGCTGCTTTCAACCTGCTCTTCTGACTCTGTGATGCTGACAAACCAAGTCAGGGCATGTTATAAAAAGAAAAACTCGACTGCTTTGCCCATTTCTGACAACAGACAGAGTATTGATTGGACACCCTGCTCGTTGCTTCGCAGTATGATGAACATGTGTCTCCAAAACCTGTTCGCTTTCGCACGCTGCGGCCTCCAAGCGCGTGGAGCAAAAGCCAGGCACGATCACCACCGGCAAGCGCTGGCAAGCCATTGCGAATCGAGAGTCTAGAGCAAGCGGCCAAACAGCATCTCACGAAAGAACCATGCAACATCATGCAAAATCCAACCAAGCTCAAGACACAAGGCCCCCCTTGCCACAATGTAGGGAAAAGGGTCGCAACTTGTCCAGTGTTTGTCCAACACTTCTCTGCATTTGATGAAAAGTTTTGCTGGCACCGATGTCAATGTAAAAGGACCAGGGCTAGTTACAAGCTCTTGGATTGATGCGGGTTGATTTTGGCCAAAGCGAGTTGCTTCAATTAAAGTTCAGCTTGAGAGCTCAAACTCGTCGCAATCACTCTCAAGTTTGTCGCAATCACTCGAGCAAACAAAAACACTCTAGTCCAGGACTCCAGGTTTGCAAAGACTGGTTTCCATCGCTGAGGGGAAGATCTACAGGTCATGAGTCAAATTCCAAAGCGCAATGAAACGAAAGATCGGTTGTTCGGACCGCAACTTCAAACTGGTTCGGACCGCTTGTAGAAAAATCGCATCTGCATTGCATATCTCTCCTGTGCGGTTTTTGGTGTCTCTTGACTGGTGTCTCTTGCGTTGGGACAGCACTGGCCACAAGAGACACGGGTGTCCACTGGCCATTCGGAACCGATGGAAATAACAAGCTTCTCACACCGCGCGGTGTGGCGGTGTAAGCGCGCTGAGGAAAAGGTGAGAAGCTGTCTACTAAACATCTGGCATTAGCAGGTTTCAAAGCGGGGATCACATCTCTTCCCGAGTCTCCCGAGATGTAAAAGTTGCCGCGTTTTCCAGGCCCTCGATGTAGAACAGGCCAATCTGCTTCATGATCCGAGGCCTGTGGCCGCAGGATTGGCAAGAGCTGGAGGTGGAAAATGCAACAATGTTATCCACTTTGATTAATATTACTTGGATTGATGCCTTGTAATAAACAACATCATGGCTGTCGAAGCTTGGCCTTTGTCTTCAAGTCTTAAAGCTGATTGCAATTTCTCATTGCGACGAAGGTTCAGAATGAAGGTCCCCAGGCAGAAGCGAGGTGCTGCCTCACAGCCCGTCACATTTGGACCTCATAGACTGACAGAAATCTGAACTCTTCCTGGGCAAGCCTCAAATCTTTGACAAGGTCAAGAAAACTACCGTGTATGTCAGCAGCTGCATGGGGTTCTCTCTGCCCCTCCCTCTCTCCCTCTCCCTCCCTCCCTCCCTCCCTCCCTCCATCCCTCCCTCTCCCTCTCTCTCTCTATATCTCGCTCGCTCTCTCTCTCTCTCTCTTTCTCTCTACAAGTGAAAAAGACCCATAGCGTGACAAAAAGAGAGTCCAGCGATGGCATCGGATCGCCTTTCTTAGCTTCGGAATGCTTTGATTTCTGTTTGACGAGTGACATTTTCGAATCTCCCGCAGCTCAGCAACGAAGTTCAACATTCGGTCGGCGTTCTCACGTCCAGGACTAAACTTCATAGCCTCAAAGGATTGGATTGTCAATGTACGCATGCGCATTGATTACTGAGAGCAAAAACAAGTTGGACTGAAATTTATTTTAGGAAACGTACTCTTGGTCTCTGTCAGGCCCTCCAAATACTGAAGGATCGAAATTTGCGTGCAAGGCAATGGTGTTGGCATAGTTTCCTTGCAAAGGGCAAGTCTGAGAAAAAGCGCCGGTCCGAGGGGTGCACTCTCCTCTCGCCCCATGGAGATCCACTCAGACTGTCAGGGCAAGTTTCCAGCATACTCTGTGAGGACCTTTCCAGTGCCCAAAGTATGATTCCTCAGCTTGTTGCTGCGAAAACCAGGACTCAATCAGAATGTCCAAAACCTTCTGCCCAAGGCACCTTGTCTTTTGAACGACCCAAGGGCCAACTCCTGCACCACCACCTCCCTGAGTCCTGATCACCTCATTCCAGGCGAGGTTGATTTTGGTGACCATGATCACAATTGTCTCTTGCGAGCCAGCTCAAACAAAGCATAAAATTCCATGCGCCTCCATAATAAAGGCCTCTGGATTCTTTTTGAAAAGAGGCACCATCTTTTCGGGCGCTCTTTGGATCTGCCTCCCAGCACGGTAAAGGCCACATAAGCATAGTTCTGCCTTCGCAGAACGTGGAATTTCAAACCTTGTGCCACTTTTTTGCTGCGTATGGAGTAACATCTCCTTTGGTTCTGTTTTGCTCTCCGGAGAGCAAAAAGCCTCTCTATACATGTTTACTGTATGAATGATAGATATGAGTTATATAGGTACAAATATTTGCTGGGCTGATTCCTGTATTGAAGCAAATCACTGCTCTGTTAAAGATAATCTACAATGTCAGCATGCTTTCTTCAGACTTTGGAAGCTGACTGTCGTTCCATCAACCAGTCTGGACCTGCCTCAGCATCTTCATGGTCGCAAGGCCACCTTTCAAGGTACAGGGAGATCAAGCAAAACGATATGTTTCCCAACTCCTTGAGTCAATCAATTCTGAACATTCAGCAACTGATGTCAAGAAACACTGTGTTCAATCTTGAAGCTGAAGTCTAAGTCTAAGTGGTCTGCCCAAAAAGTCGTGAATCCAGAAACCTCTGGAAAAGTATGGTTTGTGCCAAGAGGCATGAGCACAATTGCCTTTGATGTCACAAACCCGGTCCAGCCCATTTTGCGGACTTGGTCTCCGGCCTCCAGGGCCATCTCCACCAAGTCCGGCAAAGTTGAACTCGTAGACCACTTTCCGCACCCGGTCCATCCCGTTCATGCCTCGAAAGCGTTGCACTTTGCAGGAACACAAACTGTGCGAGCCAAACGTGATCCAGCCTCGCTGCTCAGCTTCCTGGATCAAGTTTTGGCCAATTTCACCGGCTGCAACCTTTTCCTCGAAGACCTGGATCAAAACAATCTGACAGTTTCAATCCGAGCCGCTGTGCTTCCCAGTTTCGACGCCCTGGAACTCTTCAGGTGCGGCAAGCAATCAGCACACCAGCCCGTTGATGTAGTATTTTGGTGACTAGGTATGGACAAAAAACACATGAAAACCCTGTTCTAAAGCATGTTGGTCCCAAAATCGGACCATGAGCTTTCAACATCAATGAGCAACACACACACTAGTGAGCGTATCAATGAGCAACACTCAGTGCTCGTC